TAAATTTTACATTGCAGATACATGTCTACCTGCTGTCAGTATTTATGTCTCCCTCCATTTTACATTGCAGATACATGCCCTATCTACTGTCAGTATTTATGTCTCCCTCCATTTTACATTGCAGATACATGTCTACCTGCTGTCAGTATTTATGTCTCCTTCCATTTTACATTGCAGATACATGTCTACCCGCTGTCAGTATTTATGTCTCCCTCCATTTTACACTACAGATACATGTCTATCTACTGTCAGTATTTATTTCTCCCTCCATGTTACATTGCAGATACTTGTCTATGTCTACCTATTCTTTATATTGACTGTATGTTACACTACAGATACATGTCTATCTACTGTCAGTATTTATGTCTCCTTCCATTTACATTGCAGATACATGTCTATGTCTACCTATTCTTTATATTGACTGTATGTTACACTACAGATACATGTCTATCTGCTGTCAGTATTTATGTCTCCCTCCATGTTACATTGCAGATACATGTCTATGTCTACCTATTCTTTATATTGACTGTATTGAACTATAGTAAACAAGAATGAATATAATGGTAAATATGTCAAATCAATAATGCTTAATATGTTTGAGTGAAATCAATGAAATTACTTTATTACGAAAGCCTATATTCGCAATATTACGACAAAACTTTGTGATCTTATTTTTTTCCTGTATATATATACAGTGATGTGTGCCAACAGACCTTCCATGTACATATTTCCCTACTGACTTTGTTGGTTATTTAATTATATTCATTTTGAGCTCAAGTGGGTTTATTTTTCAAATATTCGATATCGTCTGCAATATATTTTTTACTTTATTAACATACGGAAATAGCGTCGATGCTATACACTGGAACTGGAAAAGTAAGGACAGCTAGGGTGTATACTAAGAGAATGGCTGTGTTGTTCCAGCGATCAATGAAGAATTACAAAACCAGTACTGTACTGCACTGTGGAGTCTTCTTGTGGTGTCCAAGTGGGTGTACGTGTGGCTCAGTTCAGGTACTTCATTTTGTACCATAAATACATCCTTGATGTGAGTGAGTTTGTGAAATTACTCTATCTCTATAACTAGTGATGGACTGCATGATGATCAGTTATAATAATAAAAAAAAAAAAAATGCCCTTTCCAATTCCAATTTTCGATTATAAATTCTATCATTGATATAATCGTTCATTGCTGAACCCAAATTTCAAACGGATACAATGTCAATTATGCATTGAAAGTCATTTATTTTTTTAATGATTTTAACTATATGATTGATGGTATTGAAGAAAGAAATCAAAACTGCAAAATGGTGTTTGTAATCCATTCATTAGAAAAGCACAATGTATATTTAAATATGTAACAGCTCTGTTTATTGATGCAAAAACAGTGTTCTCACTTTCTTTGGGTATTCAGTCCATAAAATGAGAATGCAACTTAGTATCAATTAATTGGTTTACTACTTCTAATTACAAATTGAAGCTGATTTCCCTTCACTGTTTATAACATCATTGCAGCCACTTGATCGATACTAAGATAAACCATAGCTCCAGATAAGGCTTTTCAACAGAAACTCAACTTCTAATCACCCCTTTATGATCTCCTCCAATTCCATAACAACAACCAAACTGACATTGCCATTTTGGACTTTGGAAGGCATTCAACACCGTTCCTCATAATAAACTACTGCACAAGATGGCTGCATACGACATTGATGGTAATAATCATAACTAGCTCTCCTCATTTCTAAGACGAAGACATATGAATGTCGTAGTTGGTGGCAAATCTCCAAGAGTGTGTACGTAGAATCCGGAGTACCCCATGGAACTGCCACTCATGTTCTTATGTCATATTAAATGACTTATCTGACAGAGTATCATCCCAAAATTCGTCTATTTGCCGACGACTGTCTTTTATATCGGCACCTAACATCGTAAAGTGACCATTTACTGCTACAACAAGACCTCTGGCGTTTGGAAAATTGGGCTATGATGTTCAATGCAAAAAAAGTGCTACATTTTGAGTATACGACAATCTATCTCCAATTTTTACCAATTGAACAACACTATAATACAACAAGTCACGTCAAGCCCCTACTTATAATTTAGGAGTCACAATATCAGACCCCTTAACTTGGACAATACACATATCAAGAGTAAATAAAATGGCAAACTCTATCTATACCCTTGGATTCTTAAGGAGAAACCTTAAGCCATTGCTCATTAGAATGTAGAAGAAAAGCATTCATTTCCCTGGTCAGATCCACCCTAGTCAATATGCTTCAGTCATCTGGGATCCTCACACATATAAATTCATTGGAAAAAAGTGTTGAGACTTGCGGCACGTTTTATAAAGAAGGACTATAGAAGCCAAACAGAAGGGTGTGTCACCACCATGCTCCAAGAGTTGGGTCTACCAGCCTTACAACAACACAGCACAAGTTAAACTGTCTAGTGATGCTATTCAAGCTAACCAGGGGTATGGTACCGGCAATCACCTGGTCAGATTTCTTAATCCTGGTTAAAGCTTAACACCAAATCCGAGCCACTAAATACTCAAACTTTCAGTAAACTAACATTGTCAAACAAAAATGTGACAAATAACTCTCAGTGTTTCATTAGTAAAACTAGTGCTAATTAAGTCATACCAATTCAAACATTCATTCTTTTTACAAACTGTTCTGGAACCAACTTGATGAGAATGTGATATGACACACATTACTACTAGAGTAACATGTTAGCCTCTGAAGAATGAAATACCAGAGTTGGTCCTTTCTTCGTAACCATATAGATATAGATACAGGTAGATGTCAAATGCATCACATGAATGACTGCATTACCATGGCAAACGTTCATTTTTATTTATCCCTTATTATGATTCCACAACCTGTATATTCCCAGTGACATTGAGTGCACATCTATTTAGTAATAAGACCATCCTTATTTTAAACGTATCCTCTGTTTAGGCCTAAAAATGTATATGTAAGTTATAAGAGAGGGAAAATCCAGACTGCCTGACTAACCCAGCTTTCTGTCGTTATTGACCAAAACATTCTCTACAATCTGGAGTTCTCTGCAAACCATTCAAACTATTTGCTCTTAGTGGGGTTCATTATCGACAGAAATTATTTCTTTGTTCTTTAAGAATTGTAGCACAAAGTCTGAATATATGCAATTTTCAGGTAATGTATTTAGTACATAATACTTAATAAAGGTTTTATACAGTAGATGACAATATATAACTTTAATGTCAGCGCAACATTTTTTACAGTATGGAGCACTTATCATTTCAGGTTCATGATTGTCGCAAAACAAATTATGATGACAAGTATTAATAAAAACAATTTTATCATTGATGCACACATTTTTTTAATAAGACATCACATTCAACTATAGAGGGCGCTTAAGTGTATTATCCAGAAGACATCAAGTATCATATATCATAATTTTGTTATCATTATAATACATGCAGTATGAAAATGAAAATATTTGATAGAGAAGACAATTTGTTTCATGACAGTGTGTAATCATCTGAGCTAGATATAACATCTTTATGATAACCATAGGTTTTCAAGCCAACAAACCATGTTAATAAAACACAATCTGAAGGTCACTAGATCACGAAGTGCATTGATGTTTTCTTTCTTGGTTTAAAAGCAGTTTAAAGCACCAAATGCATACAGATACAGTTTTATCTGTTTTGGTCCTGTGTCAAGTGTAGAAGGTTGGTTGCCAATTCACTTTATCAGATGGTGACCAATTACTCAACTGTTACAAGATACGGTACATGACTGATGTATGACACTAGGCAAGTTTTTTCAAAGGTGTCACTAATAAATTTAATAGGTTAGAAATAAAATAGATCCACAGAAACTTTCAGCATGGAAAAACTTTTCAAATTACTCAGTAACTGATCAGAGCAGCACATATACGTAAACACATGTACAGTACAAGGGAGATAACTTCTACTATCTCCCTCCATACAGTAAAGTGCAAAACTATTTTCTGTTTCCTTTTTGTTATTTTTTCTCTCATATTTTGAATTTGATGTTACTGGTGGTATTATGGAAAATTCTGAACAGCTGTAGTAGCACAAAATATTTCCAATCAATCCAAAATCAATATTATAAGACTAAAATCATCGGGAACATGATCTCAAAGGATAACTCATTAAATGGTAATAACGATCATAACCAAACTTAATTCTGACATTATCAAATATAACCAGTTTTCAATATAATTGGATTTTAAAAGTATAATTAAAATGATATCTTACTAGTTTGTGTGTCTGTGAGGCGTCGCTGATGATGGTGGAGATTCTGGACAACTGCCGAGGCGCTTTTCTTGTCCACTGTGGGAAACATACATTAAAGCAGTTTGATTGACAATGTAAAAATGTATCAGGAAAAACTGTGTTTCATGGTTTGACTGTATTTGTATATGAACTTTCAGATTAGTACATTTAAACTTGTTTATTTCACCACCTGATAAACAGTCAGTATGACATTTAGACAAAATCATGTCAAATGATCAAACTTTTTTTTATAATTAAATTTCAGTTTAACTTTACATGCATGTGTAGAATTGAATAAGGTTTGTTTATTAAACATTTGAAAAAAAAAAACATATTCAAATGTTGGACTGCTGGAATAATTATCCATAATTACAGTAAACATATTAAGATAAACACTCACGTTGACATCTTTGAGGTCGTCTTCTTTAAGTATCATATTCTCTGGCAAGGGAATATTGGATTGCTGAAATATTTTGACAATTTTTCATAAAATGGTAAAAAATGTCACTTACAAAATGTAGATCTAAAATGAAGGTTTAAAGGTATTTTATCCTTTCAAAACCAGTGATCATCATGACTTTTCAGTTCTATTCAAAGCAGTTCAAGAAGGTTCAAGAACTAACTGTTGGAGGGTCTGGTCTAAACGTTCTAACCCCAAAACAATTCCAAAATGCATGATCTCTCAGATGTATCATATTTTTGATTTCTGTCACTAGCTCTTAAGTCTTTTCAAGTCAGTATGTGAAATTCAATAGCATTCTAACATATGATGAAATCAAGTCTTAAAATTTGTTTTTGAGAATGTTCTAAATGTTCACTCGCTAATATTAACTATGACTCTTGGGTTTGAAAGTATATATATCTCTCTGCTATGTGTTTTGATCCTTCAAATTTTACTTCTGAGATTGCTAATTCTCAAGAGTCAACAGAAAGCCATGGAAAAAAAAGTGGCTCCATAATTCCAAAAGAAATATCTTACATGTCTGGTATAATAAATTGCAAAAATATTATCAATATTGTAGCAGAACACTGCATCCAAATTCTAGATTTTTGTAAAGTTAGTTTCTGTAATATAATTTGTCATAATCATTTTATTGTTAAAACTTTTTTTCCAAACTTGTATTAACATTATTCTCTATAGACACATAAATATTACATTAACTACACCACAAAACTAATGTCTTGTGAAATCCCTTCGTCTGAAACCCACGTTCGATTGTACTAGCATTTAGATTTCTAACAATGGTGAAACTAGCAAAATTGTAAAATCAGGTGTGTTTGATAATGTTTTTATCATAGAAATATGTGTAATAAATAATAGCTGTCATGTTTTACCCTCTGTAAGCATGAAACATAAACTGAAATAGTTATTTCTGGTATTCAAAATATGAAAATTTGCATAAAGTATGTACTCACATTATCTTTCTGTTTCTTTTTCCCTTTAGATGTAGATTGTAATTCTTCTAAAAAGCAGCTGATGGCCAATACATCAAACCCCACTGTAAAAAAAACAATAAGATGCTATTTCAAATTTATTCATACCGAGATCTGGATGGGAAAAGTGCTACAGCACAGAATTTGAATGAGATTCAAACTTGTAATCTCCAAAGTCTAGACAGACATTCTATCAACTCGACAACTTACAGTGATCTGGTTTCTGGCACTAGCGGCCCAGCCCAAATCCACTACAGTCTCCCATTCTTATTCTAACTCTTCTATGTCCAATTGACTACAATTCTCATTTATATATTTGGGTTTTTTGATGTCCAGCAAATACACGGTTCTGTGCAGATTTTTAATAATCTGACAGCAGTTGAAACAATAAGCAACAAAGGTTAGTAATAGGGAGTAAGTTATGACAAAGTGAGCTCTAACAAGCTTCAGCAAAACATCTTGATATGGTAATTGAATAACATTTAATGAACCTTATTTACTGAAAATTAATGATGTTTTAATAATAGGGGCGAATATGTTTTTCGCATCTTTGCATGTGTGGATGTGTCTGTATGACCGGCACGACAATTTACCCAAAACACACCCAAAAACACCTCATCGATAGCGTTGAGCTGAAGCAATAGTATTTTTTTTTACAAACTGTAACGAATGTATGCAGTTTGTTTTATTTTCTGCAGAAAAACAGAGGTAATAAGTGACTTGCAAGAACAACAAGACAATATAAGTACACTCACTGTGTTAACAGTTTGTATAAATAATTTACTAGATTTTTCAAAACTTTCAATCAACTTTGAAGGCAATACCACCACACTCGTCTAGTCAGATTTAAATTCAAAATATTTTAAAATATTTTATTGTTAATACAAACAAACATAATAACAAGTATTACATAAGAAATATAGCAGTACATGTATTAATACAAGCTAAGCCTATTAAAATATTTTCCTGTATAACCGATATCCAATTATTTTAATTTCATTCAGATTTTGAATATGTATGTACCAAATAACATTATACTGGTATCACCTACATTCTTTGATTTATATAAATTTACACAGTAAACTACATAAACAATCAATAATACAGAAATCTACAATATAATTAATTAATAACGTTAGATACAATGATACACATATACATGATTAATTGTGTATAAGTTTGTTTCCCTGTGGTATACAGTTCACAATTAACATACAAAAGTAAATCGTCAAATGTCTGGATTAACTCGGAAAAAACTCTCTTAACCACAAAAAAGTACTAGTTTTAGTGTTTATCGTTTCATGCTGGTGTATTATTTGGTAGATAAGTAGAAGTCATGTTCTTGTTCTACATGGTCGAAGTACTAGTGTTGGCCTTTGAAGATGGTGTGTATTAACTGAGCTTGCGTTACGGTTTTTACTGGTGATGTAATGTGCTGTTATTCTTTGTACTTTTTTAAATTGGTTAATGTTGTTTGTAAATTTTGGGTCACAGTAAAAAGAGCAGTATTGTAATTTGGGTCTTACAATGGCCTTAACTGTTTGATGTAAGATGAATTTACTTGTAAGTTTTACATACAATTCACATGTATATGTAAATGTATCATCCTTTCCTCGAGCCAGATACCTATTTTCTAGNAAAAACATGTTAATTTTCACTGAATATCTAATTATATATGAAAAACCGTGATTTTCACGGTTGACTGCGGCGTACAAGTTTTACCCCCTTGAAATAAACATTATCGTCAATTTCTAAATTATTAGATGATAAATTTACATTTTATTTACAGTCACATTTAGAAAATAATGTTTGAAATTATTGTATATTTTTATAAAAAATATAAACGATCGCGTTAATGAGATATTAAAATATCTCTATATGCCNCAAATATTTTGATTTTACTGAAAAAAAATATCGTGCCATTATTAAATATAACAAACTGGCATATAAAGCTAATACATTTGCAGCTTCCGTAAAAAGTTGTATCCGGTTCAGATACTACACAATCATCAAGGACTTCCGATTGTGATTTGGCGGAGAGGCTGAACGTGTCAAACGGGTAATGTTACGCTGTTATCGTACTTTATACAGTTTTCTTACAAAGATAAAATCATTCGACATAGGGGCTACTAATTTCACGACTACTGATTTATTTTTAACGAATCCAGTTCACCCTTTCAAGTTTCAAACGTCTCATCTTCCATGACACAATTTATTTTGACAAGTCTGGTCCTGGATATAGTTTGATTAGCTGCAGCGATAGCGTAGCTTTCTGACGACGAGAGATTTTTTTATATATCGCGTCGTCAGAGAGCTACGAAGCGGTCCTATGCCAACTAAGCGAGCAAAATCAAAAGTGCTAATTTTAAAGATTACATATAATTCACGCCTCCTATGAGTATCATGTTATCAAAATATTGCATAATATATTGTTGAAAAAACTAATCCTTACCAATGAAAAAAAAGCTTTCACGAAATTAACCAAGTCCGTCTTTGGGGAAAAAATTAGGAACAACCGCCATGACAGATCATGCGTGATGTTATCTCAATTTTCCTTTCTATGTATGGTATGCATGTAGTTTACTACAATTTCCATATTAGGTCATGACAAACATATTTTGACCTAGACATTTTAGGCAAAGTTTAACTTCAAGTTGTGCAGAATGTCATCAGAAATAGCTCATACTACAACCTTATTTATGGATGCAGACCAAGGTGCTGTCAATTAATTCTGAAATCGCCCCAGTGTGATTCACACCAAGCTTGCTCCATTTATACAAGGCATGAGATCGATTTAATACCCAGCCGTGGTAGAGGAGGCCGGGTATTTGTATTAGTACAATTACTTGCCTGGACCTGTTTGATGTGGGCCGTCTCAGGCATACGCAAATCCGGAGAGAGAGTGCTAGAGGCGCTTAGTCGTGCAGTTGCAGGGCTAACTTTAAGTCCTCGAGTAACTCTGCTTGCACAACGTTGTCTGTAAGCTGGTTTCATTCGATGGTTGTTTTGGGAAAGAATTAGTTTTTATAGACAGGTGTCTTACAGTTTGTAGTTAATTAAGGACCTTGGTGAACATGTGTCTGCATGGGCCTGGGGACAGAACCCATTGCCTTCCTCACTTGGGCAAACGTTCAACATTAAACCAAAAAGTGAGGTATTGCCAAGCAAGGCGCTAGGAATTAAAACGAAATTAAGAATAGAAAGAAATGGAAAGATCCCAAATATTGCAAAGTGTGCAGCAGATTTATTTTGGTTGCATTTGCAAGAGCAAGTCCCCAAAGTTAAGTCAAAGGCGAGAATCACGCTTGTCGATCCACCAAGTAAATTGGATCTGTTGCGTATACTCTGTACAATGTATGGCATCATTTAAGATATCTCGGTCTATAATTACAGAAGATCATCTGATTATTAGGTATTCATGAGATATCTGAACTTAGACAATTATTCTAAAAGGAAAACAGGGGTTTATCAGAGTACTTTTTAGGTCTGTTCAAAGGATCCAATCTCTATTGAAACATTTCTGATTTTTTTCCCCAATTTGCCCCTGGAAAATTCCAAATTGGGTTTTCTGATTATAAAATAAATGCAGAAATTTGAAGAAATTAATCACGATCATTGAGTTGAATCAGTTGACTTGAACCAACCATATGTGCAATCTTGCAAGGATGAATTAAATAACTTTACAGAGACAATTGACCTGATCTTGAATCAGGAAATGAGGTTAGACTACTGGCGTAATTATATTACCTACATAATGCAAACACTATATACATGTTGTAGGTTACAAAGTCAACATATCTAGACTGAAGGTTATATTGGTATATCGGTGAAGTAAGCAATATGTTTACAGCTACGTTTTAAGCGCATCCTTATCATGATCGTTCCTCTGTCTCTAAAAATAGATGGTGGTGCGCATGTCCTTGTATTAGGTCAAATACTGTATATACAATGTATATATAATCAAGTCATAATCTTGCTTCGCTGTTTTCAAGTTTTCAGAAATGATTTCTGCCAAAATTTAGATAGACAATTAATTTAAATTCTTCTAAATCCTGGGTTGTCTCTTATAGGTCCTTATAATTATAATCAGCTTGAAGCTGTCAACTTTTCTATTGATTACTAAATTTTATATTGTTCAAAACTGTTTTAGAAATGATACAGTGCAAAACTGAACAATTTGTGCTATTTTTTTCATTCCAGGTCGACATACTACTGTCTTTGCTAAATGGTTCAAGGCAGTAATATCCTCTATATGGATGGATTTACAAAGATTGAGGTGCCGCAAGGGAAAATGCCTAGTTCTAGGAATTATCTGCTGTCTATTATTCATAATTGTACTGTCTCTATACCCTCTACAGGACCTCTCTGCATGTTCTATTCCTTCTCCGGCAGTTGACCTGTCTGTTTTATGTAAGGAAGCTAAGAGAAAATGTACCTTCAACAATAATGAGGATAGTTCACTTAAACATGCAAATCCACCTGACCAAGTTATCCCCCCTGCTGAAGGGGAAGCCCCCTCTGAATTAGACAAGGAAGGTCAGCCTCCTCATAAGATGGCTCTTATAGTTCCGTACCGTGATAGACTGGAGGAGTTACTACAATTTGCACCTTACATGCATAAATATCTCAAAGACAAACACATCGCTCATCAGATTTACGTCATAAACCAAGTGGATAATTATAGGTAAGCTTTAAGATTCTCAGCCAATCAAGAAACATATTTGATTTAACATATATATGTTTGACCATTAGAGGATTTCATGCAAGTTCCCATTGCATAAATCCTATCAATATCTCAAAGACAAACACATAGCTCATCGGATTTATGTCATAAACCAAATAGATAACTATAGGTAAGCTTAAAGATTCTCAGCCAATCAAGAAACATATTTGCATGATTTAACATATATATGTTTGAACATTAGTTCCCATTGCATATATTTTTTATCAAATAATTTTTAAGCTTTATTTCCCTCTTTGTTGTTGAACCTCCCAACTCCAATTCAACAGATTTTAAGAGTACTGCACAAAATTACATTACCAAATAATATTTGGAAGGCAAACCCTATTTGACATGATATAATTTAAACATCCATTAAGAAATTTTTTAACCTAAAAATTCTGTAAACAAAAATATTTCATTCTATGACAAAAACTTGATAAAAATAATCCATTGCAAATCCTATATGTAGTTCATAATGTAACATCACTATATATTCAGTGGCTAAATGTCACGGCTTACATTAGACCCCTGTGAGTAAATGTTTGACTCCCCAAAATGAACTATGGCTCTTGGATAATAAAGGACAGGTGTATTTGACATATATTTTGACTCTCCAAAATTCTGGGAAAATTCTTTTTTTACTTCTGAAACTGCTGAAGTCAACGCTCAAATCCTGGGTTTGGTTTTTATATTTCAACATTTTAAAATTATTCATACAAAAATATTTCCTTTTTAAATTTCTCTCCAGATTTAACAGAGCTTCCCTGATAAATGTTGGTTTCCTAGAGAGTCGATCTGACTGCGATTATATTGCTATGCATGATGTGGACTTGTTACCGCGGAACCCTACCCTCAATTACGGCTACCCAGAGGAAGGACCTTTCCATGTTGCCTCGCCAGAGTACCATCCAAAATACAACTACTCTAAATTTGTTGGTGGAATATTACTTATGAACAAAGACAATTTTATTCGGGTAAATGTAGTAACTCTTCATCATTTTATAACGGATATTATCAATTAAGTTAGTGTTAATTAGGGCCATATTTTCATCAAAGTCAAAATAAAATCACCTTTTCCCAAGTCAAAATATTACAGGATTTTTTTTTTTATAAAGAATAAGGAAATTTTAACCTTAACAAATTTAACAAATTGCAGTCATATAAAACCTCAAATCTAAACTACAGATTTTACCATTGAAAACAAACGTTTGACAGGGTGAAAGTTTTCTTGTGTACTTTAACAAATGTTCAAGATAAAACATTTTCAAATATATTGAAACTAATGTCCAATATTACCTGGGTACATGTATCAAGATTACAGGTGCTCATCTGATGGCAAGACTTGCAAAGTGTTTCATAAACATGTTATTTCCATAGTATGGATCATGAAAACCTAATAATGTATACCTTAAACCTTTTATCAGGCTTCAGACAATGTGGCTAGATCATTGCAGAGCTCTATGAGAAGAAAGTGTTAACTTTTTTCTTCTTTTTTTTTCCCCTACAGGTTAACGGAATGTCTAATAGATACTGGGGCTGGGGGCGTGAGGATGACGAGCTGTATGTGAGGCTGTTAAAGGCTCGTCTTCAGGTATGTAAACAATACTTCAACAATCAATTTACCTCCAATATACACTATATACCACCAGGTATGTAATCAATACTTCAACAGTTAACCTACCTCCAATATACACCTCCAGGTATGTAATCAATACTTCAACAGTTAACTTACCTCCAATATACCATATATACCACCAGGTATGTAATCAATACTTCAACAGTTTACCTACCTCCAATATACACTATATACCTCATGGTATGTTATCAGTACATCAACAGTTAGCCTACCAGCAATATACACTATATACCTCCAGGTATGTTATCAATACATCAACAGTTAGCCTACCAGCAATATACACTATATACCTCCAGGTATGTAATCACTACTTCAACAGTTAACTTGCCTCCAATATACACCTCCAGGTATGTAATCACTACTTCAACAGTTAACCTACCTCCAACATATACAATATACCTCCAGGTATGTAATCAATACTTCAACAGTTTACCTACCTCCAACACACACAATATACCTCCAGGTATGTAATCACTCCTTCAACAGTTAACTTGCCTCCAATATACACCTCCAGGTATGTAACCACTACTTCAACCGTTAACCTACCTCCAATATACACCTCCAGGTATGTAATCAATACGTCAACAGTTTACCTACCTCCAACACACACAATATACCTCCAGGTATGTAATCACTTCTTCAACAGTAAGCCTACCTCCAATATACACTATATACCTCCAGGTATGTAATCAATACTTCAACCGTTAACGTACCTCCAATATACACTATATACCTCCAGGTATGTAATCAATACTTCAACCGTTAACGTACCTCCAATATACACTATATACCTCCATTTATGTAATCAATACTTCAACAATTAACCTACCTCCAACATACACAATATACCTCCAGGGATGTAATCAATACTTCAACAGTAAGCCTCCCTTCAACATACACAATATAACCCCAGGTATGTAATCAATACTTCAACCGTTAACCTACCTCCAATATACACCTCCAGGTATGTAACCACTACTTCAACCGTTAACCTACCTACAATATACACCTCCAGGTATGTAATCAATACTTCAACAGTTAACTTACCTCCGAGGCTTCGATATACATTATATACCTCCAGGTACATAATCAATACTTCAACAGTTAACTTACAATGTACCTTTAATATACACTGTTTATACCTCCAGGTATGTAATCCATACTTCAACAGTAAGCCTCCCTCCAAAATATACAATATACATCCAGGAATGTAATCAATACTTCAACAATAAGCCTCCCTTCAACATACACAATATAACCCCAGGTATGTAATCAATGCTTCAACAGTTTACCTCCTTCCAATATCCCCTATATACCTCCAGGTATGTAATCAATACTTCAACAGTAAGCCTCCCTTCAACATACACAATATAACCCCAGGTATGTAATCAATACTTCAACAGTTTACCTACTTCCAATATACACAATATACCTCCAGGTATGTAATCAATACTTCAACAGTAAGCCTCCCTCCAAAATATACAATATACATCCAGGTATGTAATCAATACTTCAACAGTAAGCCTCCCTCCAGTATACACTATATACCTCCAGGTATGTAATCAATACTTCAACAGTTTACCTACCTCCAATATACACTATATACCTCCAGTTATGTAATCAATACTTCAACAGTTAACCTACCTCCAATATACACTATATACCTCCAGGTATGTAATCAATACTTCAACAGTAAGCCTACCTCCAATATACACTATATACCTCCAGGTATGTTATCAATACTTCAACAGTTTACCTACCTCCAATATACACTATATACCTCCAGGTATGTAATCAATACTTCAACAGTTTACCTACCTCCAATATACACTTTATACCTCCAGGTATGTTATCAATACTTCAACAGTTTACCTACCTCCAATATACACTATATACCTCCAGGTATGTAATCAATACTTCAACAGTAAGCCTACCTCCAATATACACTATATACCTCCAGGTATGTTATCAATACTTCAACAGTTTACCTACCTCCAATATACACTATATACCTCCAGGTATGTAATCAATACTTCAACAGTTTACCTACCTCCAATATACACTATATACCTCCAGGTATGTAATCAATACTTCAACAGTTAACCTACCTCCAATATACACTATATACCTCCAGGTATGTAATCAATACTTCAACAGTAAGCCTACCTCCAATATACACTAGAAGACTTTGGGATTCCATGACCAAGTTTTTTGTATGATTGATGATTCAGCTTTAGTTTCTGTATTTTTGTAGCTAAAGCATATTATATTACTTTTAAGAATCTGCTTGTTTTGTTATCATTCATTTAAGCAATGAATGTTTTTGCAAATGCTGCTATGGTCCTATAACACACATAAAATGATGACAAACTTAATAAAGTATTATGTACAGTCAAACTAAGTTCTGTTGATATTATTGAGATAATGAAACACTATTCAAAAGGACTGAGTTAATTATTCATAAAGCTGCATGTACATTTAGTATATGTACATATTGTATAGGTTTTACTGTTGACTACTTTTATCAGATAAGAAGACCAACAGGACTTGAAACAGGAAGAAAAGACACCTTTCTGCACAATCATAATGCCATGAGAACGAGAGACAACAAAAGATTTTTTAATCAAACGAGGGTAAGTTCCAGTTTAGCTCCCGTGATCTTCATATCTATTTAACTTTCCATTCACCTTTACCCGGTAAACAAAAATAAACTTATTGCAAATGAAAACAGATTGGAAGCAGATTCACATTGTATTGAATTATCTTAGGTACTGCTAGTTTGTAATCAGTTAGACTTTAAATTTGTATTGAAGATAGCTACTATGCAATTTATTATATTTTGATATTAATATTTAGAGAATAAGAATTGAAAGTTAAAAGTAAAAATTCCCTACTTTTTAAATTTAGTAAGAAAAATTTCTTATATTTAGTACTGTGCTTCCAATAGCATTTTTTGTTCTAGAGTGCTACCTAACTTGAATGTTGCAGTACAGACACTATGGCACCCACCTCCAATTGTTTTATCATACTTGATTATCAAATTTTGTTGCCAAAAAAATGGCTTTGTATTAAGATCTCATTTTAGGACAATTTTTTAAATTGAACATAATTTTTTAGTTTAATGGGCATTAATTTCCATTTATTAATGAGTTTTTATGCCTTTAATATGGTATAAAACAATGGGAAATTAATGGCAATTTCATGAATATTTTTAATGGGTCGATTAATTGGCATTTTCATGGTCAGTGCATGCAGTAGTGTAAGCTGTCTGTGTTTACTATTGGCAAGATGTACCCATATTTCTTTAAATTATTGTTGTTCTTTTCTTTCAGTTAACGAGTCGTCTAGACAGGGAGACAGGTGTGAGTACCGTGAAGTACAGTGTGGACCATCGCGTCAACCTGGTGATTGATGGAGCACCAGTGACAATGCTTAATGTGCGCTTAAAGTGTGATCTTGAAAAAACAAAGTGGTGTTTGAAAAAGGAAGACCATGATAAGCTTTACCGATCAGCAGCTAATTTTATCATCAACAATTGATACAGTCTTCGTTGTTATGAATTACAAATATTGTCTGTGATAGGCCACTTTGTGGATGGGTTCGTTTGACAAGGGTCCTTTTTTTTAATGAAATTACATGTATAAAGTTGGCCGCCTTCAATTAAAATGTTCACCTGGTTTAATTTGATTATAATTATGACATGACAATTAAAATCCTGACCAGTTGTTCATCAATTATCCATCCTTCATACATTATATGTAGGTCCAGTTGTTCATCAATTATCCATCCTTCATAGGTCCAGTTGTTCATCAATTATCCATCCTGCATAGGTCTAGTTGTTCATCAATTATCCATCCTGCATAGGTCCAGTTGTTCCATTAGCCGGGGTTTTCAGGTCCACACTACACTTATTGTTTTCATTAAAAGTTGAACAAATAGGCACTAATCCAGTTTATAAAAAAGAAACTGCATTTTCTAACTGGGAATGGAGGCAGCTTGATTGTGAGTCTCAACTTCTTCATCTGAGTATAACCCACAGTGTATGAAGTTTTATTTTAGACTTTGGAGCTGGGCATTGTCTTTCCAGATTTAAAAAAAAATCTTAGTCAGCATCTGGACATTCAAAACTAGGACCACCGTACTATCAGGATCATCATTATTTAATCCTGTATTCCTGTCCTGTAGTCATATATTTCAGTTTGAAAATGTTTACCAAGATTTGTTATCAAAATGTTCCCCCATGTCCTATCAGCATGGGTTGATCCAGAGATATTGTCTTTTTCATTGTACATATCAACATATTGATTTCAGCTTTCACAGCACAATCTTTCCCATTACCAAGTTCTAGGGATCATTTATCCAATTGAAATTTATTAGAAAAAGCTGTGTTTAGTCCAATAGCAAATTAAGTGAATAAACCAGGTATTTTTAATCTATTTTACAATAGTAAATTGATGTCACTGTTATGTTTAGATTGTCTTTTTGCCCATCATTGCTGTGAATATATATCCCATTCACCATTTTTATCATGTATGCGAAATATATATTATCTTTTTTATTTTACCAAAAACATTGTCATTATATATTGTTGACTTTTAACAGTAAGTCTTCAGTGTTTTATTCCCAATAGTACAAATCAGTTGCAAAGTTTTTAAAATTGAGTTATGTAATTTCTAATTTGAAAAATGTAATTCCACGTGTTAACAAGCAAGTATAATTCAAACAGAAGTCGTATTAATTGTCGGTCTTGTGTCACAGGAATTTATTTATGAAGAAGATTGTAATAAAAGGGGAAAATGGGGCAAAAATAGATTATTTGTTGCAAATAATTAGGAAAACAAATCTCTGCCAAGTACTGTAGTTGAAACCCTGTGTAAAGCAAGTTAGCTGATTTTCTTTGCAATCGAAGCTAACTCAATCTAATTTCACCAATAGCATTAAAACATAATAAGGGCATATAAATGGAAAGTTCATAATCTGCAACTTGCACTAATAATTAAGATAAGAAAACAATTTTAAACCCATTTACCAGTAAGAGTTGGAGGAGGGAAATGGGAGGAAGGATCTCAATATAAATATTGTTAAAGTACCTTTAAATAGGTTATTTATTAGAAATAGTTCCTAGAGAGGGGAAAACAAAGTAAAATTTGGAGGGGAATTAATGATGGACCTTAGCACTTGAATTCATCTTTTATGTTGGTACATGTATTTAAATTTTGTCAGCAATGTTTGTAAATACAAGTTATTTTATTTTTAACAAATGAAAAGTAACAGAAATTAATCAAAATCAGCATTTTCCTTACTTACTGGTCTTAGTATTTAAGATATAGTGAACATTTGCAGGATAATATATGTCTGAAAATATTGAATTGTTTGCCATTTGCCGGTAAATTCAATATTTGATCATTGTTAATATTGCTCTACACATTGACAATAGTATATGTAATGCGTGATCCTGTGAACCAGTATACGTATCCACCAGCGCGATGAATTGGCACTCATTACACACTATGGAAATGGTGCCAGTTAAACTGCCCAGAAATTTCCCAGGTTGCAAGGATATTCACCAAAACAGATATAGTTTATTTTCATAAACATGTACAAACTGATACTTGGTTCATTTGAAAAAGAGTTACAATGAAATATAACTCACAATCATAAATATTTGTAAACTTATGTATAGTCATATATACATTAGCAACTTCTGCATAATCTTGTACGATAACTTTAGATGACATATCATTTTTATATTAGTTACAGGATGGGCGTCTTTCGGCGTGCATATGATGTAAACTTACTGCAATGTATACATGTGCAATTTTTTCATGATTATCATGCAAAATATGTTTTTCTTTATATTAGATAATGTGGTTTTAAGTCATGGATGATGAAAATATAAAACAACATCCAGCGTCCTGGATACTCAAGGGGTTACGCTCACTTACAGTATCTGCTTCATGGATACTCAAGGGGTTACGCTCGCTTACGGTATCTGCATCCTTGATACTGAAGGGGTTACACTCACTTACAGTATCTGCGTCCTGGATACTCTAGGGTTACACTCACTTACAGTATCTGCTTCATGGATACTCAAGTGGTTACGCTCACTTACGGTATCTGCATCCTTGATACTGAAGGGGTTACGCTCACTTACAGTATCTGCGTCCTGGATACTCTAGGGTTACACTCACTTACAGTATCTGCTTCATGGATACTCAAGTGGTTACGCTCACTTACGGTATCTGCATCCTTGATACTGAAGGGGTTACACTCACTTACATTATCTGCGTCCTGGATACTCTAGGGTTACACTCACTTACAGTATCTGCTTCCTGGATACTCAAGTGGTTACGCTCACTTACGGTATCTGCGTCCTTGATACTGAAGGGGTTACACTCACTTACAGTATCTGCGTCCTGGATACTTGAGGGGTTACGCTCACTTACAATATCTGCGTCCTGGATACTCATGGGGTTACGTTCACTAACAGTATCTGCACCCTGGATACTCAAGGGTTACGCTCACTTACAGTATCTGCACCCTGGATACTCAAGGGGTTACGTTCACTTACAGTATCTGCGCCCTGGATACTCAAGGGGTTACGCTCACTTACAGTATCTGCGCCCTGGATACTCTAGGGTTACCCTCACTTACAGTATCTGCACCCTGGATACTCAAGGGGTTACGCTCACTTACGGTATCTGCGTCCTGGATACTCAAGGGTTATGCTCACTTATGCTGCAGAGAACGTTAGTGAGCCTCGCATGGTCAAATCTCATCTATATTGATTGAACAAAGTTGTGCACTCTAAAATACAAGGCCTGACAGTTCAAACAACTTTACTTTTGGCAACAACTAGATAATACTGTTTAAATAAAAACAAATTCAATTTAACTTGTTGAATAAGGATCAAGTTGTGTATAAATCACTATTGTTTTCATTTGAAATCATTCATAATCTTTATCTTGTTTGTAGATGCAACAGTACTGTTGCCTTAATCTGCTTGCCCTATTTCTTCCCACACTATCTCGTAGATTCCACCTATCATACTTTACTCTGAGTAACAATCGTGCCAAATATAATGAAACTTGTAGATACTAACAATATATACAGACACCTTTAAATATGACATACTTTATGGCCCAAAGAGACTAACCTGTGAAATTTCGTTATTTGCTACTTGCCCTGTTTCTTAATGATAACTAAATTGGTCCAAATTCACTCAATATTGCAAAGCAGGAAGACGTATTTGCAATTTTCACCTGATAAGTATAAGCATGTCATCAGACCCTAAACTTCGTGGTATTTTAGAATCGTTTTAACTAATAACTGTCATATTTGACCAAAAGATCTGGGTCCGTATTCATGAAACCGTTCTCATGCTAATCTCTTGTTTCAGTTAATAAAAACATTTATTTTTTTCAGCTATGTGAGGAAAAAAATTGAAGAGGCTTAAAACCAAATACTGTTTTCAATGTTTTTACATTTTATTTTTGAGTGTTTTACACGATTTAAGTGAGTTACAAAAAAAGCTGGTTTGAGCACAGAATTCATGCTTGAGCGTGCGAACAGTTTCATGAATACTGGCCCTGGTCACTTTCATAATGTTGGTAATGTCAGGTTTTGCTATAATTATTAAGAAAAGTATGTCCTCATTACTTTAGGCAATTTCATGAGCATTAGCTTGAATAGTGTACATCAGTTAGTCATCTTTGTCATTTTCTATGGCCAGATAATGAAAGTTGAAATTTGTTGTCTCTCCACTAATTTACATAAATTTTAAGAAAAAGTATTCAATGTATGCCGATGAGTTCATCTGTACGAATTCAATGAAAGCTATCTATATTTCAAACTTTATAAAAAATGTTTTGGGATTTTATCATAAACAATTTATCAATATGTTATTGTTGTCTTTCAAGTAATTAAGATTTGTTCGGGAGATCTTTTCATTGGATATGACGTTATATAATTGATTAGATTCATGCTTCTAGAAAGTATTCCGTAATCAACAGTGTATATACAGTATATATTGGGTGAAACACCTTTAAGTTATGACATTATCCGCATAAATAACGAATATTTGTTTTAATTACACACGTATACATATATATACATGTATATATATTACATCAACTTCATTTTTTTAATTACTCTATACATTATTTAAAACTTTTGATTATATGTAAATAATTGTGTAAAATCTATTTAAGTTTTAACCTAGTGGGGTAATGTACTGTACAAGGTACCCAAATGCTTATTGACTCTGATATGACTTAATTTCAAGCATAATTTGTGGAAAGGTTTTTGGTGTTTTTTTCAAGATCCGAGTAACTGGTACGATCGTATATGACAAAGTTCAGCTAAGAAATGCTTTATTCAGAAAAAAGCCATTTAGTACCTTAGTACGTTTTAACATCTCAGCCAAGACCAACTAGTTTCGTCAACGTTTGTTTTTTTCCCACAGATTACTTGATAATTTGAAAAAAAAAATGTTACGTTCATATGTGTTTTAATATTTAAAAAATAATATAAACGCATGTATATATAATATGTCTCGGAACTTTTTTTCTGCTTCTAACACTTTATACATGTATCACTAGACCTAATTTTGTAATAATCTTGTTTTGTATATTACAGTCAAACATGTGGTGTTTTGAAAATCAAACACTATACATGTATGTTATACTATATGTGCTTAGCATCTGGGGTCAGAGACTGACTTTACCTACATAACATATTTCATTACCAAATAGGTGAAATTACCAAATCAGGTGAAATCCTAGTTCTTTATTCATGCAAATCTCTAAATCCCTTCCTAAGTTCAAACAAAATGTGATATTTGTTGTTACAGTGGTGTATATATCACCTTTATGTTTGTTTACACATGTCAATGGATACTGTACCCTATAGAAAAGTAAATACCAATAAACGTTTTCACTGTTGTCCATTAAGTTGTTTCTTGAATAATCTTAAGAGACAATTTAAGCTTATTTCAATAAGCAGGAAGATAAGCAAACCATACTGTCACAACAGGAAGTACGCATTGCAGTAACATTGCTGACGGCTCTACTGCAAAAGTGGACATTTTTCGAGGTATTAAAATATTCGCATTTTTGCGTTGATAAATAAGCGCAAAAATATCCACTCGCGAATATGTGTTAGTGTTCATATTGCGATCAGTTTAAATTGTCACAATGCGAACATTTCTAACAAGCAATAGACCGACGACTATTACTAAAATGTTAATGATAATATGATTCATTACAATAAATATAATGCTGTCCATAATCTGTTTAAATGTTTGCATCATTTCGATTCATCCAATCAGATTAACTAAGGGGATCAGGCATAAAATGAACCAATCACAGAGCACGATATATCGATTGTATTTCCACATCTCCAGATATTACACTGATGACGTCATTTACATACAAAAAAAAGGTCACGCCACTGTCTCTATTGAAGAAGAAATGTTTAACCCACTTCCTGTATCAAAAGCAAAAACTGATTCGTAGGAATGTCACAAACATTCTGATACAAAACGCTTTACCCTGCAAAAGGACGGCAACTACACAACGACGTCATCAATTCATACATGTAAGTCTTGGCACCAATTTAATGAGAACCTTGACCCCTTCATACATGTATAACGGTACAACTTAATGTACTTCGTAAGGCTACAACTAGATTTAAAGGAGAACTTTCGACATTTTGATGGAACATATTTAATTTGAATTAAAAAAAATGAGAACGTATATATTACATAAACTTAAAAAAAAAAGCAGAAGTGAGTCAAAATCTGTTTTGAACAAAAGAATTTAAATAAGTATGTCTTAATACACACGAGTTGGTGTATAATGAGGTTCCCCCTGGCATCTTACCTTGCCACTCGCCTATAATTCCCCATTGCCTATATATATATGTAGCTACTACTTGTTGATGCAGTATGTCTGTATGAAGTCCGATAAACCAGTCATTTTGTACAAGAGATATATCTGTACTTAGTATGTACTAGGCACAGCAGTAAACGAAGAGTAAAAGTGTGCATAATTTACAAAAAAAAACTTTGTACTGTAACTCGTTCTGTGATACTTGTAATTATTTGTATTGTTGATCTGGGGGGAAAAATGTATATAAGGAATACTTTTCTATTTTGGTGATCTTTTTGATGTGCTAACAAAAAAAAGGTCAGTGTTTCAGGCAATCCACTCCCTTATCATGACACCAACATGAAAAATGTCCGTACCACATGAAATATAACAGAGAAGGAACAGTTACTACTGAAGTAATACCTTGACATCATTTATCATCAAAGGATATATCTTCGGCAAAAATAGAGCCGAAAGTTGCTTATAGTGAAAAATCCATCTTAAGTACACAATTTCATAACACACAATCTCAAGATGGATTTTTCACCATAACTTTTTTTGAACTGGCCACGGTCATCTGTATTGGAGACTGGTCTGCCTCTTATAACAGCTAGTAAAAAATAAATCAAACACTTCATGGCCAAGGAATGTGAATGAACTTTAGATTTAGGGGGCATTCAGTTTACATGGTTGCAAAAGAAATCGGCATGTTATGGCGGCAATCAATCATCTATATAAAAGCTTCAGCCTTAATGACTTATTTCAGATTAAATCAAACTCGAGTAATGTATCATTCAGAAAAATTAAGATCTAGTTCAAAATAATTAATTTTCTTATTGCTACACCGATGTTTAAAATACAGTTTTTTATGTTCTATATGATTTTATAACATGCCTTCCAGAACGACTTTTGTATACATGCATATGTAGATGAAGAAAATACCAAATTGCCAACAAACAATATTCCAAACTCAAAATCGATCAAACTAGGACAAAACATGAACAAAGGAAATATATTAATGTTTCCATGCAGACTTGAAAAAGTACAAGGAAAAAAGAACAGGCGTTTCGGAATGGTAAGCGTCGTCTTTTTCATCGACGGCAACCGTCATGTAAATCAGTGGTAGTGATAATTCGACCACAATATATAGGCGATCCTTTGTTATTAAGAAGCATGTGCATGCATGTTCCGTTTGATAAAGTAGCAGTTTACAATTAACATTTACGTACAAGTATATGTGAACTCCGCCCTTATCTGTACTGGTGAGACGCCACACAACTGTCTCGTTAGCGTAAAATAAATGTTTAGCATGTCCTGTTACATGGTCAGGGTTATGAGGTGTCGATGGGGACGATGGTAATTAAGTATACATCAGTACCGATGTAAGAGTGGAACGACCTTTAACTATCACTAGGGGTGGCAAACAGCAGACTATAGAGCTTTGCTAAAGTCCACAGCCATCTTTCATAGTCGAAAGTCTTTGTGTACATATTTGTACGTAATTGTTTTACGTTCCGCGAAGTACAAGGGCTTCTCTCTCGATATCATCTATCACTCTTGATATGAAAAAGACCCTGTACGAGACACATTGGGGGTGATTGAAGGAGACTTGTCCTGTTTTTCTGTGACCTTGATGCAATGCTCTGATTAAAAGGTCACGAATTATTCCAAGGTTGCAGAGTATGAATTTGTGGTATATCGAGAGCCGAATCCTAGGATATCGAATGTACATACTAATTTGTTATCCGAGTGTCGATACCCGGATATTGATTCTGTATTACGGACCTTTGCTGGGTAATGGTTGTTCAAAACCTTTGTTCTGCTAACAAATCCGTTCGACTTATCTTGTGCCTAAACGGGAAAATAAGTATTTCGCGAAATCTAAGCGATAAACAGAAGTGCGTTTTTCAATTGTTTTGTATGTAGAGTAGTGAGTTAAAAAAAAAACATTATCGGAGAAATCGAACTTGTCAGATTTAAAATCAATAAAAGATGAAAATGTTATTAATACTAATTGTTAGATTAAAAAATAATAACAGATAAAAATGCTGTAACAATGTAAGACTAGAATAAATAAAATTGCAGTGAAATAAAGTCATCGACTTTAATTTTATGAACTACTGTTTGTGTATCAAATTTCCAAATGGTTTCTTTTCTTTTGCTTAATGATAATGAACCTTAAAAATAAGACCAGTATAGACAAGCACTTAATTTGAAATGGGAGACATGACGTTTTAAACACATTTTATAAACATCTCCGAAAAGCACGAAATCGTTTAATTAAAGACCAGCCTATAAATAAATGGATACAGTAGAAATGAAGTCTTATACAACTACGACATGACTTTTTGTGGAGTCATTTTCACCTTTACACGTAAAGGCTTTGATGTTCACCGCATGTTTGTCAAGGTAAGAACTCATTATTGCGTCTCTACATGTAACGTTATGACCCCACATCCCGTACACGTGCATGGCCCCGGACGTTCACGCCCCCTAACTGACCAGGTAAAAATTATATCACTAAATCATTAAATATTATTGGGATACAACCACCGAGGCTGTCAACCGGTACGCTGCAGGTAAGACAATTATAATTTTATATTTATTAAGTAAAAATCAATATCATTTTATTATTTCATGTTTGTCATACTTTTTTTTAATCATCACATGTAAGAGATCGTCATCAATGCAAATAAAATAATGAATAATGAACTTATCTAAATGTCTTTTAAAATTCGCTGTTTTGATACAAAACCGATTCCTAATATAATAAATTACACCATAAAACGTCATTTCATATGATGATAATAACTAACTAAATAAAAGTCATTAATATCTTTTTGTATACTTTGTTAATTTTATAATGAACAATTAAAAATTCATTTGAATGAAACGAGGGAATGATGACCATCATGATAAACTAAAACAAGAATTAAGGATGCAACTACTTTGCAACAACATGACATTGTATTGCTGCTAAGCTGACGATTTATACTGCTGCATATCAAAACAACGTGGTGTATGTATTATTAACATGATTAAATGTGTGTAGACCTTAACGTTTTATATAATATTTCTCGCAAAAAAAAATCCATTATCGAACTACGTTGGAGTTCAGCATAGGGTGGAAACCCAAAGCTTAATGCTCGCACGTACATACATCTCTATTACGATATAATCTCATTAAGAAGAAAAAAAAATGTTACATAAATTGTGATTTTCGTAATAGTTCAAGAATTCTCTCATATCAGAGTGCGTGATGTGAAAATTTAACATTTTTATAACTTTGTTAGAAGTAGTAATTTTAATTATAAAGAATTTTTTAACAGTGAGTCAATCTACCTGTACAGCGTAATAACATTATTTTGCTGGTTTCCGAATTTGTTTTTTATCCATAATATGGTGATCATAATTATTCAGAAAAAAAATTACAAATAAATATTGTGAAGACAAGAGACCTGCAAATAGAAAATAGTGAAGCCTGTTTAGACCTATGCTTCGGGGTATATTAGTAGACGTTTTTGGGAGTTACGTTAACATTTGGTAAGAATATATGTACCATCATATTGGTGGAGATTTTTTACGTACAGGTGCTTGCATGGTTGAAACAATAGTTTAATGTTTATGTGATGGCATATTGTGTGTAATTTCTTTATATTGTCACCATATGTCATAATCTCATTTTAACGGCACGAAATTGTAATTTCACCAAGTTTTTCTAAACATTCGAACTTCTAATAATATACCCTACACAGCAAAATAGGTCTAAGTATACATCCTTATTTATGATAGCAGGGGTGATCAGACACATTTAAAATATTTTGAATTTTAAGATGGTATACAGTGTGCTATTTTTGATAGCGCGTTGCATTGAGTTGGTCATATCCTCATTTTTACGATAGCAAAGTGTGAGAGAAAATTGATCCGTCTATGAAATGCAGGCAGAAAAATCTCAACCCTCTGGACAAGATTTGTAAAGTATAACACTCGAGGGAGCCTCGTCATAATTTTCAAAATCTTCCCCTCTGGTTCGGATTTCACTGTCTACAAGACACATGATTGATAAATTCTGGTTTCGAAACAACTTACTTTGATGGCACATTTCAATTGAAACGATATAGTTATGTTATCTTAAATAATCTGTTTAATAAGATTCCCTCACGCGCTCGAGTTTCCCCGGTCATACTTTCTCTTATTTGGAACCTCTCTAGATGAATGTGCTAGCGCCAGCACAACTGAGTTCCGAGTGACTGAAGCAGACGACAAACAATAACGCGTCAACCTGGTCATTTTTACTGTGTTGATAACGTTTATTTTTTCCTGGTTATATAAAATGTATAATATGGTGGCTAGAATACTTAGACTTGATTTTCATACATTATTTTTTTTACGCGATTAATCGGATACATAGAATACACACAGTATGATGCTATATATACAGAAAACGCAATGATGAAAAAATAAGAAATCCCTTATATATTTGAATTGGTTATAGGATGATATTAAAGAGTGAACACATACAAATCTGTTTTCTACCATCTCCTACATACTTTTCACAATTATAATTACATTTTTTTTTTCGAATATAAACTACACAAAAAAGAACGCATATAAACATAAGTAAACTAATCATTTAATCATAGAGCTGCTGATATCTAGAACAGTTTGCCTTAGTTCTTATAGTATGTCATCAAAAGCTGTTAAATCTTTGGAGTCCTGTCAGATCATCATTTGAGAAACCAACTTAACATTCTGTACTCTACTATAACAGGGAACCATCTTTAATCCAACGGTTGATCAATAAATATATTGATTTTATCATTATCATAATGGCATGTGGTTTTTTAAATATAGATAATGACTTTAATCACTAATACAACATTTACCAAACATCCAAAAATACTATGTAATTCAAACACCACCACTTAATATATACATTATCATCAAATCCATTTTAATTTTACTGGGTTAGTGAGAGGATCTATGTTCTTCAACACGTACTTCTATCACTCTATGCAATATACAACGTGTGCATGAGGTTTGGTAATCAAATACACACCGCAATCCTGACACTAGACACAAGATGTTTTGTTCATCGTTGAATATATAGTAACACTGTCTATACACATTGATGATAAAGATGACCTGGTCAGAAAACCTACATATCATTGGTTATTAGGCACATCACAAAACAATATGGCACATTTATGAGGTAATGGGTTCAAGGTATTAAACAGGCATCATTGTTCAGTTATGTTATTGGTACAGTGTATAATAAGATACATGTATATATTAACACGCGCAAAAGCACCTGTTGGAGTACTGCCATCATTAATGTGATTCAGGTTAGCGTTACATGATGCACTTTTACTTTTGGTGATGTCTGGTCCAATTAACCTGCCATAATTACCAGTACTTGTTGTTGATTGCCATGGTATCGAACTGCAAAATATATTTAAACTTTTTATTGGTTAAACTTTCTTGGTTTTGTTTGTTTGTTTTTGTTGTTGCTTTTTTTCTACATTGTGATATCAGTGTAACAAAATGGGCTATACATTAGTTAATTAACACCAGACATTAATATATAAATAGCAATGCCGGTACGGTGAGTATAAAACTGTTTTATATTATAAACCTCCGTCCGTAATGTAGTACCATAATACAGGCTTAAATACAGCAATGCTATCAGTCTTTTCACAACCAATACATTGGTAGTTATAATATTTTATCATCTGTTACATTGCAACAATAAAAAGAATTGAAGGGAAGTGAAAACGGACAGCAACGAGAAGATTATCAGCTCTAGTGTGGCAACACGTTTTTTTATGGCTGCGACAAGTAAACCAAGTGACAGACAATCAGTAGTATTCACATTTCATGGACTGCTTTTATCCGTAAAACGATTAAATTGCCTCCAAGAAATGCTTGATTTTTCTAAGTATACACCCAATGCTTTAAGATTCTCCCGTCTGTACTGCCTCTCATAATAGCCTTCAGATTGTCCTGTCATAGTTACGTGTGAAAATTGCAAAATATCCTTCGCAGTCCTTATCATTGCTTACGTCACTGACAACGGCTGAGTTTAACGAAAACGTTCTCCCGATATATAACTTTCATAACTTGATTACATGTAATCCCTTTACAATGGAATCTGGATATATTGAAATCAAGCTTTTGTGAAATGGCATAATAATCCTTGACTCCAATAGTTCTTTGTGTAACTGAACATGGGTTCATTCCGAGTACCGAATTTCAAAATATTTGAATATACAGTGCACATGGATAATTTGTGTTTTTTTCTGCGTTTCCTTTAAAGTGTATTTTGTCAGTGGTCACGTGACTGACATGAAATAATCAAAGGGTCTGGAGCAGTGATTTGAAACAACTAGGAATCGCGTTGCGGCGTCATGGCAAAAATGACTGCTTTGATTTCGATTCTTTCTCGGACAATATTCAAAACAAACAAGTCAGTGTCTATTAGCATGTTGATTGATAAGTTTTTGATGTCTGGTACAAATCAATTAACTAGCCATGAATCTTCGATTTTGTCATGACATATTCCACGGGTACAAATATATCGAAAAAGGAACCGTTGAATTTCGAAAATGGAGTAACCAGTGCATATTTTTGCGTGTGGGAATAACTATATACATGTTTTTTTTTATCTATAATGTTTGTAATCTATGAAGAAATATTTCGTGTGTGGATATGTTCGCGCGTATTTACTTTAAAAAGGCGAGTGTGTCCACACCGCAAAAATTAATCGTTTACAGTATACAATGTACTCCAATGTAATGACAACACTATATTTATATTTCGATAGAGAGATACATGTTCGGTAAATAAACATTGTTTTAAAGGTTAACTCAGATATTTGTAGATGTTTACTGCTGCAGTCTTCGTATTGATGTTCTGTTAAGTAGAACATAGTGGCATACATGGGGACAACATTCCCTCAAAGGAACACTATTTTATCGTTTCGACGCTTACAACATTAAACTGTTCGTGAAAACTGAAAATGAAAAGAGAATAACTAAGAATAGATATATCTGTTGGTTTGTTTATCGGTAAAGTGCATGTGTAATGGAAGACTGGGAATAAAAACTATTGTCATGTGGTTTATTTTATTGGGTGAGTGATCTTGTTGTGGTTTCTTAATTGGTGGTTTTCTTTGACAATCAAGCATGTGAATCGTAAATCTTGTTTCCTGTTGTAGTACGCTACATACGTAAACCATTTAATCACTCTCCTACACTTGACAATGTTTATGTTTTCCCTTCCTTGTAAGGACGGAGATTTAAGCCTGGAACACCGATAGTGCCACAATTTGAACCGCCATTTTGATCTGCTTAAACAAGACGCAGGCCATCAAGCTATTGTAATACGGAAATGCAAGCGGACCATTAATTACGAGCCACTATGATTCCGTGTTAAACCATAATTTATGAAACTCAGCTGAAATTCTATTTATTTCTATTTTTACTTTTTAGTCCTGAAACATCTTAATTTTATCATATGGAATGCCGTCAATATCTTGTTACAATAGTAAACTATAACGTTAATTATTCGATTTTAATATCTGATATAATGGTATGTTTTCCGGTAGTGTTCATTATAACCCAATACCTATAATATGAAACAAATATTTTTAAGTATAATATTTATTTTAATTAAACAGGAAAATAAAGATATTCACAATATATGGTTGAGCATATAACTTTTCATCTGATAGGATGATGCACAACCCACTCCTTGTCGCAATACTTCTGGCGTTCGCCTTTCCTGCCGCGCCAGCCTCTCATCCCGACGCCATGGCCCCAGAACCTGAGAGGGACGTTGGCCGTGAGAAAAGACAAGCCTCTGACCCTCGTCTGGCTGGGTACATCACACAGGCACTTACGGAGGCTAACGCGGAACTGCTTTACCAGAAAAACCTCGATAAAACTATGTTACAACAAGGTAAACACATACATATCAATAAAACTCAATTATGAAAAATAAGTTATGTTAAATTTTACGCAATCAAGTCTTTAAATCACATTTTCCCCGATTGAAATAAGTGTTTTAGTTTAATTATTTTTACCTTTGCAAATGATGTTTCTTCATTTCTAATTAGGCTTCTCTGTGATAAAACGAAGATAATTTGAGTATGAGGGGTTTAAGTGTGTGGGTTTTTTTTATCTTCAAACGGTATATCAGACTCGTCACTTTTCTTTAAATGTTACTGCTTTGGTTTCAGTGTGTGTTCTTTGTTTATAATATAAATACATGTTGTACTAGTACATTGATTATTGGGCGTCAGCTTTACACATGTTCTAGTTTTTATTTGATTTAAGCCTTTCGACTTATCAGTGTAACAATATACTGGTAAATTGTACCACGTTATACTGAACTGACGTAATGCTAACAAAATATTACCACAGCGACATTGATACAGTAAGAACTCCTCTCCAAAACTTCCCCTCATAATAGGAGTAAACACAAACGGGAAGAGGTCTTAATGTGCTTGTTGCTTTGGGGAGTGTTTGGACGAGGACTATCAAATTATTTCTACAGTGCGACGGTAGTTCTTAATAGTCTCGCACATTCAGATGTTTATGATATTTTAAAGGCTTTCGATCTATCGAGTTTGGCTTGTGAGTCTTGTTTACATTAATTAGAAAGCAACAACACTTCTGAAAATAAACCATGTTGCATCTTAATATCATTATCGGTCAAATTTTCATTTGTACTGATTTACCACACACAGTCGAAGTCGATGTACCTAAAAGCGCTGTTCGTGGACCATACCTTTTCCTTACCTGTTATTTTTGCAGTTGATTCATCAAAAACAATTCACCAGGTCAATGTCTCTCCCAGATTTAGAAAGAGAGTACAGGGTGACGTCATCATGATGTTTCCTATCCTGTCAGTGTCAAGGCAACGCTGCTAACGGCTGACTAGTCATAAAAAAAGTACGTTCGTTGCGATCTTAATGAACTTTCACTTGTTTAAGTAGCTCGGGGTTTACCTGAATATGTAATACACATGTTTAGAGTTTGTTCAAAAGCACCTTGGTGACCTGTTAACTTGTATTACAGGTGTCGATATTCCCTCCGGAAGCCACTCTTATTTTTGGCACCTGGGGCGTTTTTTGTACACCAAAAATAAAGAGGTGGTTGACGTTTTGTCGGACAAGGCTTGGGTCATCGTCCGCGCGACCAAGCGTCTCGTGGAAATGTAAGAATCTCTGACAGGAAGTTCGTACATGTGGTATGACGTTATCAAAAACTTCGTTCCTTCGTATTAAATGGCTTCCTAAATGTATTCATTTGTAGATTGTTTTGTATTTAAATTATATAATTGTTTTTATAAGAATCACATTTCTTGATAAACAAATTAGATAAATGAAATCAACTATATCGATCAAATATTATTAAATTCCAGCGTAATGTTTACGAAATATAAAATGACATCGTCCTAGTCATTTATTAAATTCTAAAAATATTATTTAATCAAATAATATATTTAACAATACATATTACTTTTTGTTTGTTTAAAAATATTCTTAATGAAAAATGATATACTATAATTTTGTATGAAAGGACGGGAATGCCGCTACGCCAGCTTATGACCAATCCTCAGGTTGTAGCCGAATGGCGCCGACAGGTGAGGCCCACATGTCCATTCAAACCCCCAACATGTGACTTGCAGTATCCGTACCGAACTGCCAACGGATACTGTAACCACCTACAGGACACGACACAGGGGGCTGCTCTCACGAGACAACGACGCATGATGCTCAACAGTTATGAGGATGGTATGGTTTATGTCACCGTAATGGAACAATTCATAAAATAAACTCTGTGTTATGTGAAGAATATACCCTATTTGACAAACGTTCGTTTTTGAGGTGCTGTTGCAGGACCTGAATAGTTGCCTATATGTATTCATTTTGTTAGAGCACCCGTCTAGTGTTTGGAGGTTCCAATTTCAAATCCAAGTTTGGCCATTTTGCATTTTCCTCTGCAGTTACTCCGATTGCCTTTGACCAATATTTGGTTCAAAACAGCGTTTGCTTAAATAACAATGGAATACCCCAACATGGATTATCTTCGGCTAAAAAACAATACGGGATGCGTGTGGCAGTACCTAGCTAGATGACTATCAGTAGCTATATATGTAATCTGTAGCTCATTTTGAAAGGTTTCGGTTTCGAATATTTGTAGGCGTTGTTGCGTTTGTTTCTCTCCTGTTGCAGTACTCCGCGATTTCTTACAACAAAAAATATCACAAATCAAACACCAAATAATGTTTCACTTTTAGTAAAATGAGGACCAACTGTGTGTCTATAGAATGATGTGTGGTTGTTGTACTGCGCTGTTGAGAGAAAAAATACATTGACGCACAGAAGGGAAAATATTGTAAACGGCTTTAATTAAAATCCTTATTTTCTTAAGTGCTAACTTTTAAAATACTTTTTGTTTCAAAATGAAAAGGATACGAAACAGGGCCCTGAACAATGACGGTTAGATATATCAATCAATGCATATTCTTAAACAATTATTACATTCCACAACTGTACTTACTGTGGCATACACATCACTTTAAAAGAAAACTAGTTCTAAATATTCAACTAAGGATGAATGGAAAATTTGCGGAAACGACGATTTTTAGAGTTATGAATGTGTCAATTTGATTAATTTTAATCAAACATTAACGCTTGGTATTCCCGACCAGTAACAATATTTTCTTTTAAACCAAAGCTTATTATTCCGAACCTGTTTTTCACGGGGAAATATTTACTTGATGACGCTTTTCCAATGTATTTATCACATTCCATGAAATTTCCAGGTATCGATTATCCCCGGGTTCGAAGTAAAAGCGACAGGACACTGCCCAGTGCTAGACTGGTCAGCAACATCATGCATAAGGCTGGGGAGTGTCCACTGGCCAGCAAACAATTTACGGTTCTGATCATGCAGTTCGGACAGTTTATCGAACATGACGTCATCTCAACGCCCATGATATCAGGTACGTTTACATAAACTATCATTATCACAATTAAGTGTAGCTGAAATATAGTTTTGTATCTGGGTGAAACTATTTTTAGAGATTTCGATTCTTTTTTTAGAATGTAATATGCGCTCAAGGCAAATTGCTTATTTTGTTAGCCTTATTAATGCTACATGAAAAGAAATTTGCCGATGTGCAAAATCCTACGCTGAACATTTTTTTCATTTTTTTAAACGTCCTATTAACAACTAAGGTCATTTAAGGACGTGCCTCCATGTGTGTAGTGTATGCGCGGATCTGATGCCTACGCTGAAAAAAGATCAGGAGAGCGTCTTAGTTGTGGTATATCTATGTCTGTTTCGTAACAAATTCAAAAGCATTCATAAGAGTTGGTTTAATCTCGAATTCTTATTTTCGAGAGTGTCTTTTTAACGACTAACCGTATAATCTATTATTCGCAGCAGTGCTTATTTCCCTGTGTTCTTGGTACAATGGTTCCACGAATTGCGCAAATACAGAACTCGAGAAATTTTATCGCGAAAACAACATAACGCGAAACAAAGCTGCATCGAGTATTCCCTGATTTGCGATCAATGGTAACACTGTACCAGTTGTAATCTCGAAGACCATTTTCACTCGGAGTCTTTTTACTTTGAGTATTCTCCTTTCTATATGGAAGATAAAGCAACCGGAAGGGGATTGTTTCTGCCTTAGAGTAACTTCCCCATCAAGTGTTTATATACTTTTTGCATTCGACACTCATTTTGATGCTATGCTCGTATGCTAATTGTATGATAATATCGGTAAAGTGTAGGCTTTTCGATGTAAACGTCTCGAGTCCGAACCCTAAACTTTCCTTGTTTTGTTTCTTTTATATTTCTATGTTCAAATTTTAAACAACTACAATTCTGTAAAATGCATGGCAATATGTGACTTTTATGGAATATTTCTTAAGTTAAATTTCTTACAATAGTGATACTGGTAATAATAAAGCTTAACAAATGCGTACCCTTAACTTCAAGTTCTTTACTTATCGGCTACATAGAAAACTATAAATAGTGCTAATACAATACACAGACGTCGATATATGTACTGAGCCAGGAGATGGATAGAGGTTATCGAATTTACGTAAAAATACATGTATTACATCTAACACTTGACGCACGTTTGTAAACCATAGAGCTTTTTTTTTTTATTCCGATGTCGTCATTGGTCCCATTTACATTTAAATTTGTTGATTTCGACTAAGATATATACGTTATTATCACAAAGTTATCATCTTTGACATGACGAGGTTTGTTTATAACTGTTACAGGTACCGACGGTGCAGACATCATGTGTTGTGGGGGCCCTCAAAACGTTACTGACAGGAGGTGAGCGGCAGTTTCGTCATATTTTTTGTTTGGTCTATCTTTCTGTCTATTTGTATGACATCTCTCATAAAATAAAGACGCCATTGCATTCAATATTTGAGATGTAAACCTAACAGTACACAAAAACCATCCTCGAATTCCACGAGTTCCGCTCTCGAGATATGTATCTTCTCCACACCCCTGGAATGTATACAATTATCGTGATAATTTATTTGATTTATCACTGATACTGATATCTGCCGACCAATCACTAGGCTGATATCTGCCGACCAATTACTAGGCTGATATTTGCTGACCAATTACTAGGCTGATATCTGCCGACCAATCACTAACCTGATATCTGCTGACCAATCACTAACCTGATATCTGCCGACCAATCACTAGGCTGATATCTGCTGACCAATCACTAGGCTGATATCTGCCGGCCAATCACTAGGCTGATATCTGCTGACCAATAACTAGGCTGATATCTGCTGACCAATTACTAGGCTGATATCTGCCGACCAATTTCTAGCCTGATATCTGCCGACCAATCACTAACCTGATATCTGCTGACCAATCACTAACCTGATATCTGCCGACCCCAATCACTAGGCTGATATCTGCTGACCAATCACTAGGCTGATATCTGCTGACCAATTACTAGGCTGATATCTGCCGACCAATTTCTAGCCTGATATCTGCTGACCAATTACTAGGCTGATGTCTGCCGATCAATCACTAGGCTGATATCTGCCGACCAATCACTAGGCTAATATCTACCGACCAATCACTAGGCTGATATCTGCCAACCAATCACCAGTCTGATATATGCCGACCAATCACCAGTCTGATATATGCCGACTAATCACCAGTCTGATATATGCCCACCAATCACCAGTCTGATATATGCCGACCAATCACCAGTCTGATATCTGCCGACCAATCACCAGTCTGATATATGCCGTTTGAAGATCAGAGGAGCTACATACCGCTGCCACTCGATTCGTTATATCTTCAATAAAGATAATCTCCTCCACCAATCTATTCAGGTTTTGGTAAACGTAAATTGACCATTTTGCATTAAACTTAGACATCAGTTTAGTCCACTTAAATATGATCTTTAAAGAGTAAATCTTGTTGATAGTCCAGTTTGTTATTGCAGCCATCCCTGTGAAAATGCCTATTATTTTTTTTGTGAGTGCTTATTTTTTAACAACGAAAATCTATATGTAGATATCTATGTATATGTATGTATACGTATTACATTAAAAATCACCAGATAGCCACGAAATAATGTCTTAACATACTGTTTTGCGCAGTTTGGCCACATCTTATATATATTTACTAAAATGTTTAGTTGTCTGTTCCGTTCAAAATCTGTCTTTCAACGATGGAGAAGTAATATTCCAAACATATATGGATATAAAAAGAAAAGGGAAAATCCATTGAAACAAAGTACGTGTCTTTCCCGATATTCCCGATATTTTTTTTTATTGTAAATTAACAAATCCTCCAATTTCTATTTCTTCAGAGCTGCCTGTTTCCCGATCAGTATCCCACCCGGTGACGGCCGATTCTCCGAAAGTTGTATGACGTTTGTCCGATCTACTCCAGGCCTCAAACTCAACTGTGATATGGGTAAATACAGAAACCGATAGGACCGGGTGTTCAATTCTTATTGTTGCTTCCTCTTTTATACATGTATATACCTTTTACAACAATTACATGTAAGTAACAAGTTCTTTTTTAACTTATAGCAATCACCGCTCAGGCAGGTGACCAAATACATTTACATGTCGGATTGTAATAAATATAATCTTGGTTTTTTAAAATAGGCACTACCTTGTTTTGTCAATTTTCCTTAACATGTGTCATGAAATGAAACATTGAGATTGCGTAATACTAAAATTTCCGTTTTTATCATACATATATAATCGTCCCTTCAGGTATCCGATCTCCTATGAACCAAGCTAGTGCCTTCATGGACGGGTCCCAGATCTATGGAACCTCGGAAGACGAAACGAAAGGGCTGAGATCGTTTCTTGGAGGTACTTATCTGTCCGATATAGTTTCACCTTATTTTACCACCGAGGTTGTTTTGTTGCAGAGCGTTCTATTAACATTATGCTGTATATTCCTTATTGAGTTGTTCCCCTTTTCACCCTTAATAAGTCCCCGTAAGTCTATCGCATTGTGCCATTTTCACGTCGTTAACTGATAAAATAAATTACTATGACTTCGTTTTCCGCCCATACTTGATGTAACTTGACAGATAACTGAACACCTACAAGGCACTGCTGTTGGTAATATATGTCTAGTTTTTAAAATTCCAACCATGATAAGTTGATTAGCCGAAAAAGTCCTTACGGCATGATTTAACATCGTCTATGGGAATGACGTCAACAGTAAATTGTATGCCGATATCGTAAATTAATATCTCAGTAACATGGACAAATTAAATTTTATCAATACTAAGTATTGAAACAACAAATAATTCTCCAATCAAAATAGGACGGAAAATGAAGTCAGAAAAACTAATTGAAAACGGTTAACATGGAACCCAAAGGCAAAATGACGTAACTTGAAAGACCTAATGGCATGGCACTGTGTAATCCGCTCAGGCCACGGGTTTAAAAACAGTCTTAGCTTTAAAAATATCTTCAACGCTCACAGCTAATTTCCAAATAACAGGTGTATTCTATTCATTCACACAATCCAATAGCAAATAGTGGGCTATATTGACACTGTCCAAATACGTCCTATTACGAGGGCACAGCAATCTAAATAAACAAATTTAGAAAAGGACATGAACGATGAATAGCAAACATGTAGGAGGACTAATCGTGCTTTGCATTAGCTGGTTAGGTCAGCTATTTGGTAGTTCTACCTTAATTCAGACGAAGACACCGTGTCTGATTGAAATTGAAAACAAACTACCGTGATAATATGTAAAATTACCTTCCCGTCACTTTACCACCCAAGGTAGATTAATGACGCATTATGTGTGACGATGTGTGTATCTCCAATGTAAGCTGTTATTACAACGTCTTGGTGGAGTCTATTGTATATAATTGACGTACAATGGTTTGTTTAAAGGACTTTCTGATCAGAAGCGATACAGTTGTTACCTTTAAATACCATTTTTGTTTAAGTTAAGGATGATCACGGAGACTAATACAAAATAAGTGCTTTGTACGAATTTGACGTTTTCGCCATCACGCTTTCACCTTTTTATTGCGGGGCTGTTTATCACAAGGTGTGTTTGTTTGTTAAATGCTAAGCGGTCTATCATACAAGACCTAACTGTAAACAAGGGGTTGGAGATAGGGAGTGACACACGGAGACATTTGAGGCTAACAGACTACATGAATGATCAAATGAAAAAATACTGTACCTACATTGTAACTCAGATTTTTTCCCCTTTATCGCCTTTGCTTTATGCAGTTTTAAACATATCTACTGCAACAAATAGCAAAACATGAATTTGACATGCATTATTGCAACTTACCAAACGCATTCTTAAAAATGCGCAACGGTGCCTCTAAAAACTAAAAAAAAATATAACAGATATGGGAAAATGTTGAGAACATAGTGATAGTGTGAGGTGGATAATGATGATATAAAAAGATAGTAAGATACATGTACCTCGCTGAATTAAACCACAACTTTTCTAAACATCCATCCGAACTGATTATATTCATTTGTGATTTCATCCTTGTTACATTGCTCTTCTCTTTTACCGTGCTCATAAAGGATTCCTATACACTTCTTCGGGTGATAAGCTCATAGAGGTCCTCATCAGTCAACGAGACCACTATTATATACTGTACTTATAAAAATATGAATATAACCTATTTTTGGTTTACATGTATAACAATCGTGATTTTTTTTATTTCATCTTATATAAATCACCCTTGTTGGCCGTGGTGTTAGCGCGCGCGGGTTTTCATGTGGGAGGGCACCCGAGTACCCGGAGAAATCCCACGTAGTCGGGCGGGTGACCCGATAACATTTCACGTTCGACCGGGAAATCGAACCCCGGTAGCCTTGATGAAAGGCGAGTGTGTTGACCACTGCGCCACCCACCACTCGGCCACTAATATATAACTAAAATGTCTTGAAAAGAAGTAGAGAAATAATGTTTCATAAAAGAAAGAAAACAAAATAATCTACATGTATTTGATTTGCCTTTTGTTCAGCCCGGGCACGGTACAAGATAAGGTTTCATTATATACGTAGTTTTGTCGTTTTCTAATATATTATTCCCATTTTTGTTTTCTTATTTTCCTAATTACTTAACATTTTAACGTGCCAGCAGACAATATATTATGAAGCCATTTTTTCTGTGAAATCCCACAGTACGAACCTCTTTCCTGTGTCCCAACAATAGGTACATACTATTTGTTTGTGTTTGAAGCATTTGATTAAAGTGGAGATGGTGAAAAGTATGGCCATTGAGTTTTGCTATCCTCAGATTTATCGTCGGTATTTACTAAAATTGAAATATTATTTAATTATATATACACGTATATTATTGTGTGTTCCTTTATTTACTTTTCCGAGGAATGTTGAAGATGACGACGTTAGGACTTCCCCCACCAAGCGAGGAGGAAATGTGCATTAAGGAGGCTCCAGGCGATTATTGCATGTTAGCTGGTAAGCGTCAATAGATATTGACCGAATGTTAGGTTGTTTTTCTTAAAATTAAATTGAAGGATACATTATCAAAATTATCTATTTTTAGTGATAACAGTTCCGTATGTTGTAATTTCTGCACTTGCTGCTTAGTCGAAAATATCATAAAAAGGCGGATACAGTTGATTTTTTTTACTTAAGGTGACTTCCGGGTAAATCACGTGCCAGGTTTGACAGTGCTCCACACTACCTTCCTTAGAGAACACAACCGCATCGCTAGCCACTTTACTCTGATAAATCCTGGCTGGAATGACGAGCGGACATTCCAGGAAACCCGGAAACTCATTATAGCTATGCTACAGCATATGGTTTTTAACGAACTACTTCCGTCCATTCTAAATGAGGATCATGTTATCAGGTACGATATTCGTTCGAGTACACAAGGATTCAGTGCGACCTATGACCCGGATACAGATGCTTCTATAATGATGGGATTCTCAGCAGCTGCAATGCGCTTCCCTCACACGAGAATTCCAGATGTACAAGGAATGGTCGACGACTCATTTTCTACTCAACGGAATAATCTTATATTTGCAACTTTTGATAAACCAAGGTTCGTTTTGGAAAGAATGGGTCAAGCTTTAAATGACTTTGCCAGGTGGCTTATTTCTTTCCCTGTTATGGAAGACGATAGATTTGTCCAAGATGGAGTGCGAGATTTTCTTTTCCTGGATAATAGAGGTCATAGCTTTGACCTGGTAGCTTTGAACATTCAAAGAGCACGTGACCAAGGTATACCGACATACAACGAGTGGCGGAAATTATGTGGACTCGTTCCCGCAACCTATTTCGCATCCGGGCCAGGCGGACTCGTCGATCATGAACCGGAAGTAGTTCGACTGCTTTCAACTGTGTACAGGTAAATAGAACGTTATACCTAATATTAATATGGGTTCATTATTTAGTATTTTTTAGTTTAAAAAAGAAAAGAAGAAAACCCAAAGAAAACAAAAATTAAAACAAAATACAAACACTTAAAACAAGAAAAAAACATACAGTAAAAAAAAAGTAAAATAAAAACAGACCACGAAAAGTGATATAAAGTTCTAATGTCATACTCAAAAATGTTAAAAAGGAATTTACGATACTAATTTTTCTTTTGTTTTACTGTAAAATATGTCAAAATTGAAAATTCATAAAATATAATATTCTTTGCTTTTTCTTAGATTTAAAGTGGAATATGAAATTCTCTGTAAAACTTTGGTCAAGAGAAACGTTTCCAATACTAAAGTTATGTATTTGGCAGCAAATTTGATTAACTTTAATAAATATTGAGACAAAAATCATATCATATTAACTATGTTGCCAATATCTATGACGACAGTGATGTAGATGACATTGACCTATTTACTGGGGGATTGTCTGAAATAACACTTCCTGGAGCAGCTACCGGACCAACATTTGCATGTATTATTGCCACACAGTTCAGGAGCCTGAAAGTCGGCGACAGGTTTTGGTATGAAAATAAGCATCCGATCACCGGATTTACTGAGGGTAAGTTTCGCACAGACCACGAGTTGATCAAATGCCTTTTAGCTTAATTTAAACCTAACTGGGACATGTAAATGATCTTTCTTAAAAAGTTCCTTAAAAATCTGTCAGGTACGAATAATGAATAATAATTGTTTTTATATTAGTATACCCCGTAACCAAACAAACTACCATGGTCAGTTTTTCAGAATCTGTTTTTCGCTCATTTAATGTCTAGTTGCAATGACGCAAATTAAAGCTCTACGGTAATGATGGATTAATTTCCTATTCGTTTTGCGGGTTAATCTGTTACGGGTAAAAAAATCCGCAAAAATAATTAGAACCCCATGGATAAGAGCGTATATTTAGCAAAAAGTTAGTAAGAAACAAAACAAAAAATGATCACGTCATACAATGTATTAGGATTTTTAATTATCCTTTGTGGGTTGTTCAACAGCTATGTCAAGTTTAAAAATAAAAACAAAGGTGTCTGGCAAATAAAAGAAGACCTATCACGCTACTAGAATTTTGAACAAAATTTTTCAGTAAGGTTTCGCTGGTTTAAACGTTTAGTGCACTATAAACTAAAAAGAATGTAATAATGGTTCACGCTAACCTATTAATATAAGACTGTTAAGCACACTGGCTACGTTTTCAGTGACAATAATTATTAAATGTTATCGCCAGTTCTGTTCAATTAGAACTTCTTTTAAGAACAATGAAGTTAAGTTAACAGTTAAGTAATGAAGAAAGAATTGTCTTTTAAATCCTTGAAATCCGTATAAACATTCAGTATAAATTATGCAGATCTCTTTTTGACTCCTAGATATATACAATTTGACGGACAATGCACGAAAGACTTTCTCGTAAATTCCACTGAGTCGTTGCTTCACATTACATAAAGAAGGGTACACATAAAGAGGGCTAGTATATAGCAAAACTTTGTAAAACCCTTTCGATATCTGGAGCACTGATATCATGACATGGTGTGCAGTAAAGTCAAATAATAGCCTGTGAAATCTAAGAACAATTTATTTGAACATGAAGTAATCAAATTTCTTAAGTAAACATAAAAACTTCATAAAGCTTAACTCATTGAAATTGTATCTTTATTATTTAGTTCTTATTATTTCTTGTTCGAATGTATTGTAAACTGCATGTATAGTTATGTTGTAATCATAAACACCACATAAAGATAATCATACACAATTTGATTTTAATTGCTTAATACAACGTGTATAATCTCATGTTATTACTCAATATTCCACTTACAGAGCAATTGAACGAGATCAAGAAAATCCGACTGTCAAAAGTGATGTGTAATAATCTCGACACTCCCTTCATACAACCCAACGTCTTCCGTTTCGTTGGCAACGGGTTAGTTGACGCGCATGCGTATTTGCTTAAATAAACCTAATGATTTTAAGAACACAGGGATCAAGCTATGAAAATTTAGACACATCACGAATCACATGGTTCTCAGGGACTTGCTATTAGGCAATAGCATGCTATAAATGAGGGCTTTATCATATATGTTTAAATGAATTAGATTTTGGCAGAAAAAACCCAGATGAGGCCTATTAATCCTTTTGTTATATTTTGTTGGCCTTAACATACATCTTTGAAAATAATGCTCAACTCCATTGTATATTTCAGGAACGCTCGCATACCCTGTGGAGAGCTTCCGGACATAAACCTCGATGCGTGGAAAGATGGATCGTAATCTTTTCAAAGAAATATCTGATATTTCAACAGAAACTAAGGAATGCGTAAAATATATGTTATGTGTCTGGAAATTTGGGAGATATTTATTTTACAAAAATATGTTAAATATTTATAGGAATTACTTGACATGTTATGAACACAAGATATCAAAACAAAATCACATGTTGTCGTTTTAATGTCGATACATTTCTACTCTACATCGTGTATATGAAACTGTTTGATTTGTTATGAGAAGTTCTTTTTACACAACCAATAAAATCTTCTATGTGACGTTTCGATGACTTGTACGATATGTACACTGTCACCTTCGATTTGATGGACAACTCGTACACTTGTTACACCTTTGTGTGCATACGCTTCACTGGTCATTTGTCTGATGAAGGTGACAGTGTACATATCGTACTAGTCATCGACACGTCACATAGGAAATGGTATTGGTTGTGTAAAAAGAACTTCTCATAATCCATACTTACGAACCTGAAGAAAATGTTTAGAAATGTTTGATTTGTTGCTTTTAAAAATAAACAGGAAATTATAAACACGATTAAATGTCATTAACATGAGAGTTTACAAACGTTTTATTAATACTTATTATTAAAGACGCTAATCGGACAATATAATATACAATAATGTCAGATACATCGTGATGACAGAAAGTCTAAAACTTTATAATAAAAGTAAATTATTTGTAGAAAATTGTTCCCTTATAAGTTTCGAAAACGAATGTACTGCCAATATGATATCAACTTGTGTTTGGAATGGGAGCCTGGCAACCCCTTACACAAAAGAGGGTCAATATCAGGGACTCGCTAAATACCAATGTATATAAGAGCTTTAATAATGACCCTACTCTCAACTGAACAAACAATTTAATCATGCTAATCTTCCTTCTATCATTACCATGGCAGGTAGAAGAGAAAGTGATATTGACACTGAATTAAACGCTTTTAGGAACATTATGGTAACGTCTAATTCGTGTTAATTCGTTTACCAAAATAAATCGGTAATCGACATTCAAATATTTCAGTTAAAAAATTGGCATAGCTGAACATTTATTGTTAATTGCAGCAGAGATATGAAATACTATTTACAGAACTATCAAGTCAAGTCCATTTCATTATTACATGTACGGAGGGAATACTTGCCTTTTTGAATATATCTACGCTACTGTGTGACATTTAATAACTGTCGGGTTATTGAAATAGCAGTTAAACAATCAATTAGGTAGGGAATGTATCGGTTGGTGACACAAAGGAAAATGTTTCTTATGAAAATGTTACTGTTTCAAATTTAAATACTGCTCTTTATGAACCGAACACCGTTTACCCACACCTGTGTCTGCGCCCCTGGCAATATGTAGTTACAAATACACCTAGATATAGATAAGAAATTGTGTTTGTATAGGTTTTTATCTCAGCACTATCTATCCACAAATCCCTGCCTCTAGGGATAACATAACAAACTTCGTACTCCAGCCCATTGCTTTACAATACAGTTCCGGAATATTTCTATTTGATCACATTTAACATTTTCAGGCTGTTGAAGCACACGTTCTATACTATTACTAAGCATTAAATCTGCTGGCATTTGATATTTGTTGTTCAAATATATAGCTTTTCTATATTCAAATATACAAAACTGAAAAATTATAAATAAAAGAATTTGCTGGAAATACATCAACTTTAATAGGTACCTCTACATCTGCAAAAATAATATAGCATACCCGCTGATTTTTCTAGAATATTTTGTGCACGCAAAATAAAGTTACATTATGAAAAATAAAAAAGCATACCCAAAATATTTCGTACGCCTTATTTGTATTTAATCATATACTTAGCTTCAATACTACATCCATCCCCCTCGCTGCATTTGGTAGGGGGATGCAAAAATTAGTCTCGCATAATCTAAGCATATCTTTTTGCAACTTACAACACTTATTTTACATTTGCAATAATATTTCGCTGTGATAAACAACCCATCTTACTTTGTCAGGTAAAACATGTTTAACTGTTAGTGTCGATCTACATGCTACAGTAGTTTCGCACATCTCTTCTGCATGTTTTTACCTTGCAAATGGCATGCAGTTAAAGCAAAAAGAGGGTTATACGTTATGTTATTGGCTATATCATATTGACGTTACGTTATACCCACCGATACAATGATAACGTAATGATATTTACTTTCTTTCTGAAAGTGTGGTGGATCACCAGGCTAACACTAGGAAATTTCATTAGGATTCCTTACTTGAAGAAATATAGACAATCTTATGTTTATTAGATGGTTTAATACTAGATCAACAGGATAAGGTCATACAGGCTAAAGGAGTGAAAACATGGTAAACAGCAGGTGCGCCGGAAGAGAGATGAAACTAAAGAAATGGAAGGAAAGGTTGAAACAAAATTCATACAAATCAGTTCTGTTGCAAATGGTGAGCTTCTCCTGAATAAATGATCGATAGTTTCATCATAATTTTGGTGTCTTTTCGTTAAGCAGAAGACACAGAAGAATCCTCTTTCCTCTTCATTTCTCCCTAATGTGTTGCCTCATATCAACATCCAGTATGATACAGCTGATTTAATTGTTTTCGCCTTACAGCAACAGAATGTATTGGTTGATCAATATGTATGATTTATTGAAAATATTCACTTGAACTATCGTTGTTTTAAAATTTCGCTTGAATGTCAAGTAAGAAAGCAGTAATTTAAAGGTGCTTTAGATCGATGCAAACAGCCAAATTATGTAAACATTTCGTCGATTTTATTATTTATCAATGATTAATATAATATAATCGTCCCCTACTTTGAGGGTGTGACAGATAAATCTCCAACTTAAGGGACTTTGCCGAAGGTAAGACATTCGAGAATATCATCCAAAGGGTTGGGGATTTCTCTGTTTAACCCTCAATGTAGGGGATGATTGTTTTTCCCCCATCCTGTTTCACTCCCAATTCGGTTTATTTGCAATTAACGTCCTATTAACAGCTATGGCCATTTAAAGACGTGCCAGGTTTTGATGGTGGAGGAAAGCCTGAGTTCCCGGAAAAAAACCCACCGACCAACGGCCAGTATCTGGCGACTCCCGCACGTAGGCCTCGAACCCGCAATCCAGTGGTGGGGGGCTAGTGGTAGCGAAATGTCAAACGCGTTAACCACTTCGCCACCGCGGCCCCCTGTTTCACTCACAAATCCGCCGACAATCGGTGATTGCGTGAAATACAAGCGTGATGCATGTTTTCCAGCAAATCCATAGTTGTCTTACATGGTCTTCTACTGTTGACGTGACGCCAATGTATTGATGAAGTGACGTCATACCATGTTATGACTTAGATCGTGCCATTCTGCACGAGGCTATCTCCCCCTATGGAGTGACAAGCTGATCTTTTCCGGATTAAAAGGGAGACACACCTGTGAATAGTGGGAGAATAACAAAAAAAATTGTGTGATATAATTATTCCACGATTTTTATGTTATTAAGATTCAGGAAAGCGTATAACTTTGATAGTTGTATTCACCAGGGACAGTTATTTGTGATTTTGGCGACATGTTGATAATAGCATAACTATAGGATAACATAAAAGTGAACACCCACTTGCTTTGTCGGGAGATGTTATTATAATATATCATTGTGTGCAAGAGAAAATACCAAGAGGTATTTACCTATGTAAATAATAATGTCAACACAAAACTGCAGTCAGGATTCTGGAACAAATCGAAAATTGTACTTATTTGTCTGTAATCATGAATGACATTATATGTTAATTTGAGTGATGTTTACTTGAAATAAGTAAAAATAATGGCTTGAAGTTCGTTTACACATTGTATTCTGTTAGGTGTATAAAATACATGCAGTCAATCTTAACGAAGTAATAACTTTATTGGCGTATTATTACTGCTCTATTGATCACAAGATACAGCTACACTTCAATCAATTATTAATAAATATTTTTAAGTATCTAATTAATTCGAAACAGTATCGAATATACAATATATGTATTAATCATTTTTAACCAATAAAAATCTTATTCGGGTAGTTACATATATTAATACAGTCCCTTTATCGACAAAATAAAATCATCAGAAACGATTTTTGTTTTTAATTTTTCAACTTGTCCATATTAAGGGGAAATGATTTCAACAACTATTTTGATACCATACAAAGCATTATTTGCTAAATTGTTTTTAAAGATTATTAGATAAAATAGTCACATAACAAATCTGCAAACTTGGTGAAATTAACCTACCAGCAAATTTTTCGTTATACTCGATAGCTGAATTTATATATACTTGTTACAATTCTCCAATTTGTCAAAATAGCTATAGCTATTGCAAATAGTATTACTCTGTGCCGGTTTTGCACTTTCAGCAACATAGGTATTGTCTGCAGAATCTTTTGTGTCTACTGCAAAGTTGACATCATGGAAACCAGAATTGATCTACTGCACCAAATGCCAAAACTTAGATCTACATCTTTCGTTTTCCTACTTCCACTGGCTTCCTTATTCATATGACCTCACCTGATGCGAACACTCTAAACCATAACAACAACCAAACACATGTCTAGACCTTAGATGACCTATTGGAAAATAATTCTACATTTTGTAAAATAATAAGCTAGAACTATATTTATTAAATGTAATATACAGCGTATCAAAATGTGTTCTAAATTTAGAAAGTCTTAACCTTTAATGTATATCATTTACCTTCACTCGGCTTTGATCATATTAATTTATTTTAGGGATTTAGGTTTAATAAATTGTTTCGAAAACGTTTTAGGCACAAGGTCACATCGTGACGATTTGTGTATAATATTTAAACTAAAAACTGTCCCGGACGTCAAAACTATTAGTTCTTTTAGATTTCGCCGATGGCTGCTTACGTGTTAAGATAATGTACGCATTCAATATATTGTCTAACAGACCTCTTGACCCTTTAGAATTGCTAGATTTAGAAAGTCCTAACCTTTAATGTTTTTCATTTACCTTGTAGGTCGGTGGA